ATGACCTACAACAGGCCCTTACCCTCATTAAGCTTGTTTCATCCTGAAAAAGGGGTGGTGGCAGGGAGAAAAAGAAAACTAGGGGCTACTGTGAGGATTAAATTCACTGAATGCTGTGTTGAAGTGCCTCACACTAACCAAGTTCATGGGGCCCACACCATCTCCCTTTTTTAATACACTGCATGCTTTTCTCTATACTACAAACTCCTTGAAGGTTGAAGTCACAGTTCAATTGTTATGCTGTACCTATCGAATCGGCATAAAGTGCTTTACACATGTAAGGATTACTTATTCTGGGACTTCCCTGGTGGCCCAGTGGTTAAGACTCCACGCTCCCAATGCAGGGGGCCTGGGTTCGATCCCTGGTCAGGGAACTAGATCCCACACGCATGCCACAACTAAGAGTTCGCATGCCACAACTAAGGAGCCTGCCTGCTGACCCAATGCAACCAAAAAAATAAATAAATTTAAAAAATTTTTTAAAAAAGGATTACTTATTCCAAAAACTCTGTTATGAATATGAAAAAGATGTACAACGTCCAGGAATTGTTCTGAAACATTGTGTTGCTATGTCTAATTATAATATTATAGTACTACTATACCAAACAATTTTAAATATCAAATATATTGCAATATATTCTCACATTCTCATGGCAGCTGTGTTCCCTGTCTTCACTCATAATTTGAATTGTGATAATCTGTGAAGAAACAGATTTTCCTCTCACTTGCAACCTTAAATGGCTATTTCATACTAGAATTCCCATCATTGCAGATTAGTTTGAAATTCTAAGCACACATTAGATCCAACTATAGCAGATACTGAAATGAAACTTCATTAGTCAAAAATCAAACACTGCTCTATTTGCATATCTAAGAAAAAGTTCAATTTTCAGAACTTAAAATTTTAAATCAAGAAAAAAGCAATATGGGGGCTTCCCTGGTGGCACAGTGGTTGAGAATCCGCCTGCTGATGCAGGGGACATGGGTTCGTGCCCCGGTCTGGGAAGATCCCACATGCCGCGGAACGGCTGGGCCCGTGAGCCATGACCACTGAGCCTGCACATCCGGAGCCTGTGCTCTGCAACGGGAGAGGCCACAACAGTGAGAGGCCCGCGTACCGCAAAAAAAGAAAAATAAGAAAAAAGAAATATGAAAATATAACCTCACAAAATTTACATACTACTTTATTACCCTGCAAAGACATTTTTTGATCCCCAAACCTGCCACATAAGACAATGACCTCTAAATAATTAGAACAAAGTTTCTCACTATTAGGAGAGCACTGTTTTAAGATTTACTTAGCCCTTTAAATTAACCATCTTAAAGCTTTGAAGCACAAAGTAATAGTCAATGACACATCCATTTTAAGCTACCATGACCTGTCATTACAGAGTCATTAAGTAATATTTCAAGGAGCAAGCAGAAAGTTTTATAACCTTCAAATATATAAGTTTATCTTCTGTACTTTACGAGCTAAGTTATTTGAATATTTAAAGCTACACTATATAAATTATAAAAATCACTGGCAATTTTCAGCATTCTTCCTAAAGATAAAAAGCATGAATTAAGTGTTAAAAAGCAATATGGAAACAATAATCAAATTCAAACTCTGTGTATATGTATTTACACACACACACACAAGTAATAAAATAATTTAGAGGCTGGTTAGCTTAAAGCAAGCTTTTCTCATAAAAAAATTAAAGCTAAATATTTATCTTTACAATACAGAATTAATTTTCAAATTTTAATATTTTCTGGCCAAACTAATTTAAAGTAAAATACATTCTCTATATTATATATTCTGTTTCCGAACTGTAGACTTTCATGAAAGAACCAATTTCAAAAACTGTATAAAGTAAACTGATTATCCAGCTCAAATCTACACAACTCAACTCTGATCAGCTCCTCTGTTGACATTAGTTAGCACTGTTAACTGCGTGCACACAGCTCTCCCTGCAAGATAAGTACACAAAACACAAAATGCGGCAACAGAAAGACAGCAAGCACAACACAGCTCTGGCTCTGCTTAGACTTATCTATGGTTATCTGCACAAAGCTTAAAGAGGGAGATTAAACAGTTAACCGGGATAGGAAAGCTAAGTAATTTTCCACATTTCCCACATTATCTCTTCTTGGCACGGTGAGTTCATTATTTTGTAGAATACTGTAAATTTCCAGAATAGTATAAAATTCAAAGAAATTTGAAAGTGGGCTGGAATTGAGAAGTTATCCTTTCCAGCCAGCCTAATTTAAAGACGGGAAGACTGAGCTCCAACGTGTTAGAGGGTTAAGGCCTGCCTTCCAACTCTTCCCCACAAGAGTGTTCTCCTTAATGCCCACAGGGATGCAGTCGTTGATACCAAAATACTATGCAAAGATAAATTCTTCTTCTGCCATTTTGAACAAACACCAACATTTGTTCAGGAGAGAAATAATTTGAGAGTTAAATGTACTTCACTTGCGAACTAAAGTAGAAACAACTCAAGTTCTTTCAGTCTCTTTCAGTTCCTGCTCTGGGAGCCTCCCAGGAACACAGGATTAGGAATAACAAGATGGTCAATGTGTCTTTTATTGGCCTTTCATCTTCCCTCTTCCCCTGTGAATAAAATCCACCCTGCTCACTATATCACCTGTTTTTCTTATAATTTGAGCAGTAACCTCCTTCCTTCATCTAAAAAAGAACCAACAATGAGAAATATATCCACCAACAGTCATCACTTTCCTACTGAAGACTCCTATCCTTTCTCCTACTCTGAACATTCTAAATATAGTTCATGTTCCTGCTGTTTCTCATCTTGCTGTCTTTGCAGACCATAAATTCCAAAGGCATGTTTCTGTTGTTTTATTATGTGGTGTGACAATGGAAAGAGTAATTCTTCTGACTACATCCACGATTAAAATGAGATTCAGACGTAGTAACATATGTGAAAGCACTCTGTAAATTGTGAAGTTTAAGAGAAAAGTAGTGCCCCTATTATATTAGAATGATCAGACATCCCTAATTGCTCATAACAACACAAGTAAGTAAAAAATTTCTAGGAAATTACAGCCCACATTAGAGATTTAACTAATCTTAACAGAAATTAGTCTTCTGATATAACCCAGAAAGGAAAGGTAGTAGCACCCAACATTCAGCAAATCATGTATTTGTCAATGGTTATTTTACTTGAAGCTTAATGAGTGTATATTTCTAAAACATGCTCAATTTTAGAACAAATTACCTTCATAATATAAATTCTTTATTGCTCCTTTTGGACACAATGATTGGCTGTCTATCAATACCACATGATTAAAACCCACTAGTTTAAAAATGCATCCTGAGTTAAAGTAAAATTATTACCACTTTCTTAATATTGTCCTCATTTGCCTGAGAAACTTACTTAGGCATGACACTCAAGAAACTCTAATCAAAACGGCTAGTAAAACAAAAGAAAACTCAGTCTTTCTAACAGCTTACTTCTAAATTAAAACATACATATTTGGCCCACACAGAATAATAACATTTTGTACTGTCAAACATTCATCTAAGAATGTACACATTCACCGACATTTAAATAATATTGAGAATTGTAATGTTACTCCTATTCTGTTATCAGCTAGGCTTAAGGTACAGTAGTTAAAATTATACTGGATAAAAATAAACGAACTCCACCAAAAAAACTGTCTTTCTTCAGAAATATCAATACTTTGTCCAGAAAAAAAAAGAAGCATCCCTTTTCATGGCAATACAAACTCACTTTAATTCAGGATAAAAATAACTGCTAGAAAAAATACTTGGTGACTCTGCACTTTCCTCATGCCTTTATTTTTTAGGCCATCTAACAATGCACACCACAATCTCCAAATAAAAGATGCAAATTAAACATATCCAGAGAAGGACCACATCATGAAACTATACTCCATTCCTTTATCTTAGTTCTGCTTTCTCTATTTCTACATCCAAAAAAGCAAGCATAGCTAATACTATACATATCCCTTAACATTTTATGTAAATATCATTCTAAAAAATGTTAAAACCATATAGGTAATTAAAATTTAGTGAAGTACGGCATCATCTTTAAAATGGCACTTAGCAAAATACCTTACTGGGCCCAATGTAACAGAGGTGCCTTTATCTAGGTACCTGTTATTATTATTAAACCACTGACATCTCAACCAAATCTTGTATTTAAGCATTCTCTTTCAAGCCTCAGTTCCTTAAAATTAAACAAAAAATTTTAAAACAACAAAAACAAGCTCTTAAGTAAACAGTTTCTAATTTAAAATGAAGATAAAACCACCTTTATTTTCCCTTGAGGGATAAAAAATTTTCCTATGTAATACTGCCCTCAAACATTGTATTTGTCTCCAAGTACTATCAAGTTAACTCTGAACAGAAAATTATTTCAATATTCTATAGAATTAATTTAACCTTAGGACTGGTCATTTGTCCCTTGTAAGTGCTACTGAAAGCCTTTTATTCAAACACAATTACCAGTAAAATATTTTGATATGTATTTTTAAAACTTAGATATATTTAAATAAACTGAGGCAAATTACAAACAATGATCCAACAGATGTTTGTGAAATATTCCTTATTTATTTACTTTTACTTTCAGTCCTGTTATTGTCCATCAAACGGTAATCTAGCTTTACATCACTTTTGCTACTTATTAATAGTTCTGGTCAAAATACACATGAACAGAATTCACTTAAAAAGAAAAAAAAAAGGTAACATACTAAAGACAAAATACTGTAATGTGCTACCACTCAAAAATATATACAGAAGCACCAAATAACTGTGGCCATAAATGAACTAACTGCCAAATCAATGAAGGTCCAGGCAAACAACATAAGAAAACTAAGAGCATCATCTTTTACTTCAAAATTCCAACACTCATAAAGCATAGCCAATATAATACAATAAACCTTAAGAAATCATGATCATACCTAGACATACAACCAAAGGTTAATCACATTTGAATTACCAAGGAAAAAAAATCATAATTTAAAAAACTCACTTTATATAGTATCTTGCACCTTCAAAAGTATATGCTTCTTCCCAGCCAGTAGGCAAATCTAAAAAAACATACATTTCACCATTAGTATTACTTTGATAGAACAGCACAGTAAGTTTCAAACCATTTTAATTATTCCTTTTCATGATCAGCTATTTTCATTTATTAAGTAGGTCTGTAACCCCCTCAAAAAGCATTAGACTGGTAATAAAACTCAGATATAATATCATTTTTGGGAAAATGGCAATTCAAATGTAAAGCCACCAGAAAAGTATCAACAATATTAGAGGTTATCTGACATAATTATACACTTTCATCAGAGTGGAGAGGAACTACGCCCTGGCAGCCAAAAAAGCAAAGGGATGCCTTGTAATCCTAGGTAAGTACCCTTGACGGTAGGCCAAAAACTCCAAAACCAAAGAAAAAGACTATGCGTAAAAGGTAACACGCACCTCTTCCCAGGTATGTTGTGTCTATGTAAGACCATATCTTTCAGCTACATAAGTGAATCCATCCAGGAAGTGTCACTGACGAGAAAGAACTTAGTACGCACTTATTTAGGGGGAAAGAAATCTGAAATCACATACTTATACGTACATGTGTGTTTCTACAGACTTGACTTTAAGAGATGTGAAGTTTCAAGTAATAAACCTGGCAATAACGCAGGTGAACGATAGCACCATTCTGTGCTACATATTACTTACAAACGACCAGTGTCTTGGATTTAACCATAATACCTCTCTGAAATAAAAAACCGATGATGTGTGTACAAAGTCAAAGTAAACCAAACCAGAGAAAAATCAAGATCATCTCTCAAAAATAAAATTAACCTGAAATCAGATAATAAAATTTTCTGAGGTGTGAATGTTATCAAATCCTTGGGGGTAAATAGGATAAAGATTTATATTTCACATAGCCAAAATAATCATGGAATAATTCCACGAGACGATCAGGCTAAATAAATATATTATCTCTTGTGACACAAACCTGTTACTATCCATAAGGCAAAGAGGCCATCACAGTTGACTTACGTATGCAAAACACTGAAATGTACATTCAAGTCAAAGACGACATCGGGGAGTTAAGAAATACGACGCCGTATTAGTCAGAAATGCCTTAAAAATGTAACCTCATCATGCTTGCTATACCAGCTTTCCCGTTCCTCCTCCACCTTTTTGCAAATTTAGAGATATTAGTCACTTCGCTGAACTCCAGAATTTAATAGAGAAGGCAGGCTTGTTCAATATCCTGGCAACTTTAAGAGAGAATCTCAGAGTTGGAGAAGTATCCCGGAGGGCAAGCTCTACAGACTTCTGAAGCCGGCCTCACCTTCCACCCAAACTGTTCTCAAGCCTTTCCAATCACCCGAAACAGAGGCAGGCCAGGAAGAGAACACATGTTACGTTTCAAAGACAAACAAGTTTCAAGAACGTACACAAAGAATGACAAAAGAAAGCCAGACCAGCACTCAAGCTCCAGTCAGCTCCCCTCCAGCTCAACTCACATGCAGCATTCAAACAAGCTACCCAAGGCACCAGGAAGATATGCTTCGCCGGCGACCCTCTCCTATTAGGGCACCAGTGCCCACAGGCAGGACACCTCCCAGCACGCCCACCGCCTCCTGGCAGTGTGTGCGACCTCGGTGTCGCCGCCGGGGACTTCGAATCTGGCTGGCCAGCAACTGCAGCTGCAAATGCCTGCCCCGGCCCCGGCTGCTCCTCCGGGGGCACGAGGGAAAGCGTGCAGATTTCCCAAGCCGCTCTGTCGCGGAGAGGATCGAAGCACCCCCAAACTCGTCTCCTCCTCCTCCAACAGCCACCTACCCACAAGTCCCACCTCGGAGGAGGAAGCCGCACAGGAGGAGGGAGGCAGCTCCCGGAGAGGAGGGGGAGGATGTGGACACAGTCTCCCCGCGGACGAGAGGCAGGGTCCCGGGCTGCAGGAGGGGAGTGGGAAAGGATTTCCTAAAGGTTGAAAGAGGGGTGAGGTGGGGGGCCCGGGGGGCGCTCGGAGGACTCAGGAGTGGCCGCGGGAGGAAAAACTCAGGATCCCACGTTTCCCGGGGGAGGGGAGTGGGCCACCCAGGGGCGTGGGGGAAGAGCAGGTTGGGATGGGGCAGAGGGCGCCGTGGGCTAGTGACGATCAAAGACGGAGGAGAGGGGCGTCCGGAGACTCGAGGGAAGAACCCCTGCCCCCCTACCTGCGGCCGCCCCCGCCCGCCGGCCTCCGCCCCACCTCGCCGCCTCCCGGGGACCGCAGCTCGGGGCAGGTTGCCGGCAGGAGGTGGGCGGCCAGGGCTCTGCAGCCTCCTCCCGGCGAAAGCCAACTCCGCTCGGGCCCGGCCGGGCTCGGCGTTACCTGTGCTCTGCCGCCGGTGCCCGGTGACCACGGCCTCGCCGGTGACTGGGTGCAGCCAGGTGGTGCTCTTCGCCTCCTCGCTGCAGGGGTGAGAGAAGGGGCCGAGACGGGGCTTGAGTGGGGGCGCGGGAGGAGCCGAGGGGGCCGGAGAGGCACCGACCCGGCTCGCTCCCCGCTGTCGCCAGCCTCCCGCCCCCTCCGGGCCCCCGCGCCGTCCCCAGCTCTTTACTTGATGAAGAAGACTCGGCCGCCCCGGGTGATCCCGTAAGTCCAGGAGCGGGGCAAGGAGCAGATCCACTCCAGGTTCAGATCCGCCGCCATGTCTGATCCCCAGCCGCCGCCGCCGCCTTCTCCTGCTGCCGCCGCGGCTGCCGAGGGAGGAGGGAGCGAGCGAGCGAGCGAGCGAACCAGCTGAGGGAGCGCGGAGCGAGCGCGGCCGGAGCGCGCCTCCCCGGCCCGGCGCGCCCCCGCGCGCGCCCTACCCCCTCGGGCGGCGCCC